TTATACTCCTAGTGATTAAAATAGAAACTTGTGTAATAAATTTTTTAATATCGGAAAATCATTTTTTATATCATTATGATTTGCATGTACACTTGTTAATTTTATAAATTTCTGCAGCTTTACGAGATCTATATTAGATCTGTCTTTTCTCATTTTTCTTTGATATTATTTTATAGCTTAAAGATATTTAAATTGCAATTTGCAATAAAAAAAATGGTGCTTGGAAAACGATTTCTGCTTGAAATGTATAAAAGTTATACTGATAATAATATCTAAATGAAACATACGGAGTCCGAAACTTATTACTATCCGTTACATTCTTGACAATAAACGTATCCCCCAAAGCCAAGAAAGTTAGTAAAGTCAGTTAATTAATTCTTTTTCTTCAACGTTAGTCGGTGTAAGTTCGTTCGCGTTGTGCTAACTTCCGGGTGGATGTTGTGCATTAAATCCGGTGATTCCAGTAGCCTGCAGTTTAACGTCAACTTTAGAACGAACTTTCGAAAACACGCAATATATACTTTGCAACTTTGTCGGCTCTTCTGGTTTGTTCGCGTGACCTTTCGTCTTTATAATTTCTCATCACTTGCATCAATGATGGCAATGTGATGAGGATGATAATCAAGATTATCAAGTTCTAAACTCCATAATTTGTCAGTGTCAGTGTCTCACGTGTAAGGTGAAAGGTTATCATTGCTTCCACTTTCGATTGAAGGTGCACGTATACAAAATTAGCGGTTTCTGGTTCGCATAGATTGCCTTAGAAAATTATGCGAAGTAATAGCGTAGCGGTTTGAAAACGTTGTCAATCATGGCATCCGTAGACTAATTAAATAGTTATTGATTTCTGGAAATCACACGTACCGTACTCTTCCACATAGCATTAGTAATATTATTATTAAAGGGATGTTGGAGTGACGAAATTATTGATACATTACAATCGCATAGAAATCTTCGAATAGACTGAATAAAATCAAAAATTCTTTTACAGAATTGAAATAGACAAAATTAGGAAGTGGCCTTTATATTAAAATCGAAAAAAAAGGTAACTCATAGAGCTATCACTGATGTAAACGTTTACTTACTTAATAGAAAAGTTCTATATCATTCGTATGGATAAAATTAACATAACACCACTCGTCGAATTATGTGAACAAATAATATTGAGTTTACGAAACTAAGATTGAAGATTAAAAAAAAAATTTATATTAATTTGCAAATTGTGTGTGTGTGTGTACTTAGTGAAAACTCAGAATGCTAAATATAATAATGCAACAATTGTGTCTAATAATAGATACCGGATCTTGCAAATGACATTGTAATATGTTAGATAAGATGTATGCGTTTGAGTGAGACAGAATGATAATATATAAGAAATAAATTAAAGATCTCACAAAGAGAAGATGTCATTATTATTCACATTTTAAATTTAGAATTAAAAAAGTCTGTATTATCGATATCAGTCAAGTTCGGCCGTTACTTCATCATCCCCTTAAATAGGTCGCTCGGTAGTACGTATGGATTCCGTTTGATCGAGAAGTTACCTGTGTATTCAAACAAAAGAAAGTCTTATATTTTTTCGAGTATTGAACGAGACAGTAAAGCCCTAAACCCTAAACACAATGCGAGGCAACAGCGCTAGGGAAATAACACAGGCAATAATAATATGCATAGCGATAGAAAGAGATGAATCTAACGTACCGGAATGCATATGTCAATGCAGATCGAAATACAGAATAGGCAATAGCGATAAAATTTCTGACGAATTGGAATTCTATATCTATTCCTATCGCTGTTTTTATCGCTGTCTCGTATTTTGTTTAGGGCTTAAAATGTATACTGAGCGCGCTTAATTAAGTAGTCGAAGATAAAATAAGCAGAATAACATTGCGCTCCTTATTACCGTTAATTACATGCATAAGGTTAAACCGATAACTATAACTTAAACCGATCGCATCATTTTAGACTTGTCAAGATCAAACAAAAATATCGACTACGAATATATTCAGATGTTTAAAAGCTATTTATATTCATCTTGAATGAGTAGGCATTATCGAATATATCGAATAACGAATAAATTTTTCAAAAACTAAATAAAATTATAATATCCAATTTTGTAATAATAAAGCTTACAAACAAAAAATTATCCTTAATATTTTTTGGAGGGAATGAAGGTTCCGTTTGTTTGCAGTCTCGATTACATACAAAACAATTTATTAGTCACGTCTAATCCTTAGAAAGGCTTAATGTGTATAATTTGTGCATTCGAGAAATAGAAGTAAATGGAACTGGAGACTTGAGATTGCATGAAATATCAATCAAGATATATATTTACTTTGATTGTTCTGATTAATCAACAATATTGCGACTTTTATATGAGACATTTAATTAGTCGGTTTTATATGTATTGTACGGCTATGTAAGTTTTTGACTGGATAGGCCTTCAAAGAAGAAAGTTTTGAAAATTAAGAATGTTCATAAAAAGAGTGTATAAGAGAATATGAATAGTTAAAAAATATCTAATCGATATTTTATTCATAATTTTTTATTTGATATTTTTACATCGAGCTGCAAAAAAATATTAATGTTCGATATTATCGATATTATATAGCGATAAATATCCTTATTTTCGATTTGCTTTAAAAGATGCTTATAATAAAAGACGAATTCGTCGAATTTATGATAATTCTTGCGTATATAAATCTATGTATACTTTCAGTCTATTTTAAATAATAACTCTTTTTATAATAAATATTTAAATTTATAGATAACAAGCAAATTGTATTAAAAAAATATTTTGATGTAATATGGTATTTTTTTATTTAATAAGCTGACTTCTTTATAAACGCAAAACGCATTTTGCCTATTGATGCGAACGGTTTAATATTCTTTAGTAGGGTTTCTGTAAGCTTTTAATAATAGAAAAAATGTATGGCATAATAATTTCGCATCCTGGAGTATAATAAATGTCGCATGCGCGCGCGCATGCTCCGTCTAGAGAATCCTTCTAGGAATATTTTTCTAGAGAGTACGTAGCAAGTTTAGTTTGTTTAGTCTCAACGTTACTTTCACTCGTGTCTATTTACTTATCAAAGTGTTGCCCAGAGTTTTCGGAAGGAAGATAATATTGTATCAGACTTTTATTAATCATCCTTAATTCACCAATAAAGTATTTTAGGCCGGCCATAAGAAGACGTTACTTTCGTTAATTTGCGAAACGATGGTCTGTTTTCTGTGACTGAACTAATGTACACTTTTATATTGGGTCCGGAAAGTTCGTGCCGCAAAAGATTTAAATTTAATAAATGAAATTAAAAATTTAAATCTTCTGCGTTTCAATTTTCTTTTAAAATCGGCATGAACTTTCCGGACGATTCAATATTTGAAACATAAAGTGAGATAGGTACTTATTTGATATTTGTCGAAAACGAAAAGAAAGACTTTACTTACGCAGTGCAGAAACAGAAAACAGATCACATATTTCTTCTGCAACATATTTACAACATCTTGGAACGAAGCTGTAATGGTATCATTAACATGGCAATTAACGATGCCCCATCGAATACATCATCGTCGTTTCTTTATTTTAAAGGCCCAGTGTACATCTATCATAACGCTACGATCGTAAGCGATCGTGATCGTAAGGAAAAAAGCTACCGTAAAACATTGTCTGTTTACATAAAATCGTAATCGTAAAAGCTAAACAGAATGTTAGAGCCAAATAAGTACATTCTCATTGGCTATCATATCATCAGACAAGTTCGTGATCGTGTGAGTTGAAGTTGAATCCACTCTTACGATGAGCTTACGATAGTTATTACGACGAGCATTATGATATCGTAAGGAGCTTACGATAGTCATTACGATAGATGTAGCCTTGATGCATCGTCGTGTGGCAATCAATGCTTATGCATCGCGATTTGATGCATCGCGGACAGCTTTGATCCAGACTATCGGTCTTGCTTTGCTGTGCGTACAAATACAATAGAATGGACGCATGATGGAGTATCTGTTACATGTATAATTTTTTTATCGATTTAAACACTAAATTACATACGTATCACGTTGCTCCACAAAATACGAACGAGTAAATAAATCTCGCATATTCACATATCACATTCACGGGCTCATAGAAGTTCCGATTCATCAAAATGATACGTCGAATTCTTCATATTACTTGGTTTGACAAATATGTCTTCCATCTATTTCCATTGCAAGCATGCGAGTTATAGACGATTGTGAATACAATCTTAGTGTGAGTTAATCTTGCATTCATAATATCCTCCGCTTTTACATTGCAACCTAATATATGTCTCGTATTCCCACATGTGACACGGAATGTAAGCGATCGGTCTACAGAAGAATGGATGATATAATAATATGTGACTCGTATGAAAGTTATGCTGACACTTTATTTCAAGCTAGCATTCAACTTCTTTCGTCCGACGAATAATCGTTCAAATACATACACAAACAAGATGTGCTACCATTATACTTTTACTATATTGGTCTCTGTTGGATACACTGTTTCCTGATTAAAAATTTTCGGTACACGGACCATCGATCATACGATGAAAGAGCACTACTAATCTCACAATGATGGTTATAATTATTCTGTTTTGTATTAGCATATTACATTGTTGCATATTCCTTCTTGAACTCTATGATTAGATGTACATATATATAATGGATTAAATAGATATTTGCCTCGCGACACAAATAATCACAGCTGATCTTTCAGTACTACTTTGTCCGACAGCGTAGAGCGGAAAGTTGATCGTCGAATAAATAGTATCAATCACAGCCAATCTTGCAGCTTCAAATGTTCTGGTAACCATTCCGATAACAACGATGAATCTTTAATTGGAATCACAATCATGTTGCCATTCTAACTTCGGCGATTGTAACTAGAGCACATCTCCGCATGAATATGGATATCATGCGACAACACAATTTCGCTAACACACTCCGGGTTTTCGCGAGTCTTGCACTTATGCACGTCATAAACTCCAGTTTGTCTGCAGAGCTAGCTTGAGCGTGACGAACATGATGAGTAACGCGGTGCAGGCCATCATTGACGGCGATGACGCCATGCTATGTTGCATGGCAGCCGGATTGTCACCCTTGAAAACATGCACCAAGACGCGCGCCGGCTGGGCATTACTAGCCTCGCAAGTATAGTTGCCCGAATGACGATCCGACGCTTTTGGTACCTCCAACCAGCTTTCCCGACCAACGAGATCAGTGCTAACGTTGACACCTTGATCAACGTCGTAATTAATCATACGGAAGTTGTGATACCAGAAAAGATATGACGGTATTTCCGTGGACTTCTTTACCAGGCAATGAAGTTGCAATGTGCTACCAGGCCTCACAAATTTCTCCACCGGGCCGACTATCTCCGCTCTTGCTTCTGCAAATGGCCAAATATAATACATGAGACGTGAACCGTTCATAAACTCGGCTAGACATTGGGGCATTGTTTACTATCATGGGTATGTGAAAGCCTGTCCTGAGGGCGAGAGAAGGAAATAGCTCATGTAAGAGCGACAGAATCTTAAACATTCTGCCAGAGTCTCTCAAATACTGGGATCAGGAAATTAATATACCGGGCAATTATTTCTAAAAAAAAAAAAATCACGTTATATTTATCACATTTAAAAATGTATTTAATATCTCGTTTAAAATATTGTTATTATATGGAATACAGTAAACAATACACTATTTTTTCCTAATGAATGACTGTTGATTTATAAAATGTAATAACTTATTTGAAATCCTATTATGAAATCTATTTCTATTATTTCAACAAAATATAATTTCAAGAAACATGGTAGTGTTTCGCGCCAAGTGTAGTTAACGCGAGATCGCCCATGTTTTTACGCGAGGAATTGCGAAAATCCGAGATTATCGGATCTCTCAATAATCGACTTCTGAGTAGTCTCAATCGACAACTTCGATTTAAATTATATAATAAAAATGTTTTTATTTCGTACGAATGGAGATATCGTGATGTGAAATCCGAAATGTCAAAAGTTCATATTAAAATACGTCATCATCATCATCATCATCATCATCATCATCGCCCTCGGAAATATTGTTTGTTTCACATTTTAAATGACAGACACTCATCTGTGTTGCGGCACTACTTACCTGTAGTTTCACTTGCACCATATCGATATATCGATAGAGAGCTAAATCGCTGTCATTCGTGGCATCGCTTCGTGAAAATATATCGTTATCGTAAAGACCGCAGTATAGTTTTTTAACGTATAACGCATAATGCATAGTGCATGAGAAAATAAACTAAAGTTTCTCTTTTCCGTGAAATAAAAGGAAAGAAAGATTTTTGATTGGTTGATTCGCTTATATACTGTGCACTATGTGTTATATAAAAGTCTGTACTGCGGCCTTAATGAGATATGTAAATTCTGAAATATTCTAAGTGTCATACAAAAAAATGTAAAAAAATTATCTCCTATTCCGTATAATTACCTTCATTTTTTTCTTCAAGAGCTCACACACATAAACGCGTACACTTGATATCTTTTTTATTATTTTGTTGAAAAATGGTAATTTTTTAACAAATCTTAAATATATCCATTTTAACTGAACTGAACTATGCTGAAGCAAAAAATATAAACGAACAATAAGAACTTTCAATAAGAACTTTCATCTATTCTTTTATCGAATTTTTATCAGCTATTATTACAATTAGTTACATCATGTTTGTTTTATAATAATTTTTTAATACAGCTGTCCACAAATATCCTTATCGCAATTTGATAATTATTATGACTAACAATGAATAATCATAATTGTTAATAGCTATAATAAAATATTTTTCTAATCCAATGATATTTGATCTATGAGATTTGTATAATATGCAATTGATGCAATTGCTATAGTGAGATAATTTATCGGAAACGATATGATAGGATGTTTTATCCAATAATATCAGAATTATAATTAATACGTGTACATATATATGTTGTAATAAACAGTATTTGTATGAAAGTAGTTCGACTGCATAATTAACCTTTCATATATAGAGCAGCAGATTCACACGTTGCTGTTTCTATTAACTGAGCATCAGTTGCATATATGCTTGGATATTATCGGATATCACTCATAAGGATATCAATTTTGATACTCATTTCTTTATGGGAACAAAAATATTTTCTTATTTTAATAGTGAATATTGAACATACATGATAAAGAAACCTATATCTGTTATTTATTATCGAAAATATTGAAAGAAATTAAAAATTTCACAAATCTTTCCGTTAGATAGCGTGAGTCAACGAAATGCATGTATTACAGTGATTAATTATCCGATAAGCAATTCTCTCTCGAGGTAATTAATTTCTCAATTTTCAATCAATTTACCCCATTGAGCAAATTGTCTATTAATTAAGTATTCAATTAGACGATGTTCTCTGGATCTGTATGCCCCACAGAGCACTTTTTTCCATAGAATAATTGTCACTGTATAATCAATATTGCTATTCATAGAAATTACTTTATCATTCAGTGTAATATTTTCTGAAACACTTTACTTTAAGGAGATTATTAATATAATATAAACAATCGATATTATCCGATATTCATTGGCACTAGTTATAAAATTTAATACTTTCTATTACCGTTTAAAAGTTTTTTTATTTTAATTGAATTGAATAAAATTATTTAAATGAAAAGAATAACATATTAATGGAGATTGAAAATTGTATGTACAGGTATATCGATAATATTGTCACAGATTATCATCATGTATCGCTAATCAATCGAGAATGGAATCAATCATGCGAAAGGATAATCTTTTTTTTAATATCTTTTCGTTACCAATTGTTGTGCTTGCATGGAATTTCAACGGGTTTCATCGTAAATTGAAACCGTTCATTCTTTCCTGTGAACTGCCTATATTGATTTGTAAGTCGATAACACTGAATAGCGTATGACACAGAGCTCTCAAACTATTTAAACCAATCGGAAATATTGCATTGATAAATTCACGATTTGAATGTAACGTTTCAAAATGATTATAAACATGTGATATGAGCTTGATACTTTGACAGCTGTATATTTTGGAAAATATTTACGTTTGCCGTTAGTTATCTATTTTTGTAGTTATCTATTTTTGCGTTCGACACTTTTAACACTTCGTATTAGATGTCGAATTCATTTCAAGCTATTAATTTTTGAAAATATTAGTTCTGCCTCCATTTTTATAAATAAATTATTGACCTTATCACATAGAAAATGGCACATAACTCTTCTTATCAGTAATGTGATCTGTCTATTATTCTTATGTACAGCAATAAATAAAAAAAGAATGGAATTTTTTAAATTCACATGTACCACAAACGGTGAGTCCTCCTCTAATGTTGCATTCTGTACTACAAGAATAATATTTTATAAATCTTTCGCTTTCAGATGTAAATCTTTTCAACCACCATATTAACATACAAACTGTTATTTCATATCCACTCGCATTAGTTATTACAATTCCTATTCCCCGTAACTTTGAATAACAATAACAATGAATAATAATATCATAATATTGTCGAAATTTTAAACAAAGCTGAATTTTAGTGAAATAGAAGAATTTTGAAGAAATTTTTGATCTTGTCTTTAAGAAATACTGTTGAGACGACTCACATTTTCCGGTATCTCGTATGAGGGACTCCGAGAATTTTAAGTCCGCTCACGCTCGGATGCGTTTCATCCTTTCACTCGACGCGACCTGACACGCCGCGCGCTGAGCGTGTGAGGATCAGATGTGTGAGGGGTACTCGCTGCCAACACCCGCACCAGCCAGTCCAGATACGCTTTTACTACTGTCACGACCGCAAATGATAGTCGAGATGTGATTCGAAACGTTTGCGCACGGTCTGAGGGTTCCCCAGAGTGAATGGGCATCGATTCCTGGGGGCTATTGCAATTTCGAATCACTAGAGCGTATGTCCTTGTCCGACGCTTGTCTGATTTTTTGACAGCCTTTACTCGGCATTTACGCAAGCTACCCCCAGACTTTGTCCTGATAAAGGTTCCCCATGTCGTTCCTGAAAAGTGCGACATGGATCTGCTGCGGGTGAATTTTTCTCTCTTATTGTTCAGTTCTCTTACTTCTGACCATAGTAGCAAAAGATTGATTTTCATGAATTTCAACTATACACAAAATATGTTAATGTAATGGATACTCACTTTTTGCCACTTTTTGATCACTCAACTTGTAAAATTTATTTTGAAAAATTAAAAACTGAAATTTGAAATTATTTCCTAATTTACAAAACAAAATATATAAAATAAAGCTATATACAAGTATAATTTATTTAATATCATAAGTTAAGTTGATTAGCTAATTTAATAATTTTATGCTTTTTCGTATCTTATAATAATGTTGACTGACATATTAGAATCTGTAAATAATTAATTCTTATTACGAAAAATATTATCTCGATCAGGAATCGAACTGGAAGAAGTCAATCTCTAGCATTTCGTGCAAATGTTCGAAGCCTTTG